CTTCTCTATATCACATAGTCACTCATTATATATATATATATATATATATATATATATATGCGTTCCAACTGATGATCAAATTAATTAACATGTGCATGAAATTATATGTTATGTGTAAATATTTATCTTACCAGCAGATAAGATGAGGACCAACAAGAACAAAAACCCTATATTAATATTATTTTCCTTTCCATCAGAAGCCATATAATCACGGAAACTGAATTGTGTTGAATCTTTAGGTTGAAGTGAACAAAATATGTCTCCAATCTGTAGCCTCTCTATATATAATATTATTTTAATATAAGTTACTATTAAAATATAACCATTTTAATTAAAATATTTGTAATACATGTAAATTCCATTCATACAAAACGCGCAACAGTAAGAAACACGTAGAGTGAGATATTCGTGATTAAACATGAATGATGAATGATGAATGATGATGGGAGAGAAAAAGGCATTATTAAGTCCAGAATTTATTGGCAATATCATTATTTATTATAAGATCACTTAAATTGATGACAGCACCATATATCCTTGCTCTACCATACATATGTATATTATGGTAACCAAAGACAGAGAGCACATATTATATATATGTGATCGGCAGCCAGCGACATTATTGACATGTAGCACCATATCCGAGTACACTATATGTGTAGTGTTAGGTGCTATTTATTTATTTATATATATGAAAAGGGGTTGATCTTCAACAAGTCCTGCTGCAAAAGCACTTGCGAAAGGGTCCTCGGCACTCGCCACCAATGAAACCATCGGACCTGCACACGTGTGCACACTGCGCGTCGACTAAGCATCGTCCCTGGAATCCATGCCTTCTTGCGAAGCACACTGCAGCCTCTCCTCTCTCCACTGCCACATCTAATCAAACACCATTTCATTACATTATGCATTTCAATCAAATCAATTATATATGACATATGTATATATATATCTTACCAGCAGCTAAGACGAGGAGGACCAAGAACAAAAGCCCAAATGTTTTCCTCTCCATCACCATGATCATGATCAACTTCTGCTACACCCTGAACAAATGAGCCTCCATGGATCTTCTTATATAATCACTTGCTGCTTGCAATGTGTCAGACCTTGCCTTGGAGGTGGAGCACCGCTTTCGCATGCACAACTGCACGTGTGCGTCCACAAGGCATGCAAGCTGCCACGATAAGCTTGCTGGACATCAAGTGCTGACGTGCATTAATTTTTTCTATCGGTGCCATCATAACCTATGTATGCTTTCTTCCTATCTTTTTAAGATTCTCTCTCTTTTTATTTTTACCATTCAGATTGCATATTAGAATTTAGAAACCAATGGTTAAGTCTTTTGTTGAGGCTACTAGTATGCTGCTTGAAAAATGGATAATCTTCTTCTTTAACAATATTCGAATCCTTATAATTATGTGTTGAAATGAAGCTATGGATGATCTGGTCACATTATGGTAACTAACCTTTTGAATAATTCTAAATCTTCTCGCAATATTCTCCTATTAATCTTTCTATTATTTTATAAGGTAAGTATATATATATTATATATATTGAATGTGTTTATATTTTTAAGACATTAAACACATCATTTTTTATTTAATATTTTATAATTTTTAAGTAATAATTAGCAGCAACAGTAAGAGAATTGAATGCATAACATTATTGTTTTGTAATTGAATTTAGAAATGAAAATGCGTCAAATTGTCTTGACACAGTCTATGACCTGGCTTACGTTAGGTTAAAATTAGGCTAATTTTTTTTAGAAAATAGGTTATATATCAAGAGTTTTAGTAAAGTCAATTTAGCTAAAAATAAAAAAAGTTAGGCTTTGCACAATTTAAATTTTTTTTATTAGGACTATCGATCAAGTAAACCTATTTAAATAAAATAAAAACTTATTTATTTATTTATTATTATTATCAAATTTGTTATAAAGTATTAAAATTATGTAACATACTTTTACTTCTATATTGATGTGTTAAATTATTATAAAATACTCTCTCAATTCTTTATTATAAGTAAAAAAAATGATTTTATATAAATTAAAAAAATTAGTTAATTACATTAAATTTTATTATTTTTATAATATTTTTTCTAAATTATCTTTATTATAAATTTCTATAAAAGATAATACAACTATAATATTATGTATATTAAATGAAAGATATTATAAGAATAGTATCACTAAATGAGACAAAGTAATTTTTTATATTTATGAAAAAAAATGTATTTTTATTGTTTATAATAGATAATAATAGAGGGAGCAAACTTTTAAGCATACTCATAAGCTAGTTCAAACTTAGGCTAAATCTAGGCTTTTAAAAAGAACTATAATAGGTCAAAACAAATTTAAAAAATTTAATTAGTAAGAATAACATTCATACATAAATTTATAATAATTTTTTTTGTAAAGCTAAAAATTTATTAATTATAAGAAGACTGTGCACAAAAAGTGCAAGTCATAAATAAAAATAAGATTTCCCAAAAATAAATAAATAAAAATAAATAAATAAAAATAAATTTATAACATTAAACATATGACTTCACCTTTTTTTTTATATGTAAATATATATCACAATTTTTTTTATGAGATTTATATTTTTAAAATGATAAATGATAAAAACACATTCTTTAACGCACTTTTAAAAATACTTTTTCTTGTTGATTGAAATTTACTAAAGAAAAATATAAGATTTGGTAGTTTTTATATTTTATTTAACGAATTTAATTTTCTTATAATTTTGTAATTTTTATTAAATTCTAATCAAGAAAAAATGTATTAAGATGAGTGTATATATTGCTACTATATATATTCATTAAAATGTTGAATGATTTTCTTATTTTCAACAACTTAAAAAAACTTTCTCAATATATAATTAAGTAACTCAAAATTATTTAATCATTCATCTCTCATATAAACCTTTTTAACCTTTTTTATTTTTAAAAATAATATAATATAAACTTGGATTAATCATTAACCCATGATTAAGTTTACTTAACTACAATTAATATTATATATGTTATAAAAAAAAAGTATTTCAAAAACTCCATCGGTCCATAATTTATTTATTTTATTTTTATGTTTTACCTTTTTCTTTTGTTTCAAAACTTTTAATGTTTTACAAATGAATTTCAATAATATTAATTAATTTCTTTCACATGTATTCTTACTTATTCATCGTTATTCTTATTATATAATTATTTTTGTATTAAATATATTAAAAGAAGATATTTTAAATTTATCATACTACTATTAAATATTTCTTAAGTAATATGCAAAATTCTTAAACATCAACTGAAGTTATGATTTAGGGAGAGTAATATATTCTTAGAGATGGTTCATACAATTCAAGTGTATTTTTTTTAAAAGCAGTCAAATTGTTTGAATTAGATTTTACATAAATAAACAGATAGATGATCTAATAATAGTTTTCTTTTTGGCCGTTATTTAAAATCATTCTATATATACAAATGAAAATAATTATCTCAATGTGAGCATTTTTAGTAAATTTTTTTTAATGAGAATAATTTCAGGGACTTCTTTTTAACGGTATTTTTAAATAAAAAAAATTAAACTATTATCTATTTTAATTTGTACCTATCCTATTTATTTTTAACTTAATTTTTAACATTTTAAAAATTATCAATAATTAAAACAATTTTATGTCATAAAATAATTTTTTTATCATATATCTAAATTGTAATTTATATATTTAAAATATGTATTTATACAAATTTTAAACATAACATAATTTATATATATAAATATATAATTTGTTGTAAATTTTATTTGTGTATAATAAACAATAAGTGATGCAATTATGCAATATTAGGAGAAAATATACATTTTGTAACTCTAAATATTTTTTAAAAGTAAAATAAAAAAATATAGTAATGTGAGTGGTTAATTAGAATTAGTCAATAATGATTATTAAAATTATTTTTTCTCAATAATTGAGAGTATAATTATTTAAAAATTGTGAAGATGAAAAATAATTAGAGAAAAAAGTATTTTTTTTATAAATTAGTATAAATTAATATAAGTATAGTTAAATTAAAAACTCATTGATGAGTCTTTCAATAAATATGCTCTGGCGTCTTCCTTCGCGACCCAAAGTTAATGGTAGGGAATCTCACCTTTGTGGTACCCAATTTGGTTAGGGGTGAGCCCATAACGAGTGTTTAAAACCTAGCAGCCCATAGACATTGCAGGGTTTATTTAGATGGGCCCATTTAATATTTCCAACCTCACAATACAAAATATACGAGCCGATGCGTTTTTGCTCTTTTGAGTCAACAACAAAAGCAAAAAATCTGTTTCAACTCTGATTTATATTAATTAACGACTAATATTCCATCCCAATAAACTCACATTTATATTTTAAAAAATAGATTATTTCTTGACACTAAAATGTCATTATTTTAAAAATTATAAATATAAAAAATCAAAAGTCAAAATATCTCTCTTTATATTTGAAAAAAGAAAGGTAGTTTAGTTCATTGATTAAATTACTTGGATACATGAAAAAATAAGTCAAATATACTCATTGGTCTATCATACACCAAAAGCAAATAAACTTATAAAATTCAAATTTTAAGAAATTCTTTATATAATTTTATATTTAATCAATTTTAACCTCAACTCAACATAATTACTAATTAACTAAACTTTTAAGAGTTCTTTAATACTTAAAATTTTACAATAATTAAATAATAAAATATAAAATTATTTAAATTGATAAAATCAATGAACACCAATATAATTTCACAACGTTACAATGTTTAGGGTTTAGGGTTTAGAGTTTAGAGTTTTATTTTATTTTATTTTTAGTGGACCCATTAATTATTTTCACATCAAGATTAAGAACTCTTACTATATTTTACTTTAACGGATGACTTTTTTTTATCTTAAAGATTTTAAGAGCTTTTTATTTTTATTTTATAAGAACCGATTATCCGACCTATAGAATAGTTCAATCCTCTCTAATGAAAGAAAAAATACTCGGCAAGAACCTTTTCTTAATTTTAAGAATTCCCTTAAGAACTTACACCGAAAATCCTCTCAATGACAATTAACATGAAAACCACATTGAAGATTCAATTTATATTGTTAGATGATAATTTTGAATTTAAAATCCAAAATGGATTCTATTGTTAGAGAGGAAAAAAATTAGTGTAAGTTCTTAACATCTACATGACATTGGTCCCCTAAAAAAGGGTTAAAATTCAAATTGGGCTATGTGATTAGGGATATTCTTACCTTTTATTTACTACTTCTTCCATTTCAAAACTATAATAAATTACCTTTTATTAAACTGATATATATATATATAAATTTTATTTTGATATATAAATTTAAAGATATTTTGTAAAAATAATAATGAAAATATTTTTTTTAAGATATATAGTTAATTTTAACAAAATTCATAATAAATTTAAAAATAATAATTAAATATGTAAATTAAGAGATAAATCGTTAAAATATGACATGTTTGGATTTTTTTAAGGGAGAAATTTTTTTATTTTAATATAAGAAGAGAGAGTGATGCAATATTTACATCTTTAAAGAGATGTTAGTGTAAAGGGTGTTTTAGTTATAATTTATTGTTGTAATTAAGTTAATGAAACTTTAATAAAAAATTTAAAAAATGAGTAAAATGTCATACATTAAAATCTCTCAAGAGGAATAACCGTAATTTTTAACATAAGAGAAAATGACGGTATAATATTCATTTCTCTCAAAGGAAAAGAGTGTAATTTACTCTCAAAAGTTTTATTCTTTTAATTTTTTAGTTTTGTACCGAAATTTTGTTTCTAGTAAGATTTCAATATATCTTTATCTAATTTTTTATAATTATATTCTTTTGTATTAGATTCATGAAAAACTCATGAACCCAGTGAAGAAACTATCGATAATAATTTCCCTTTTATTAGGCAACTTGAAATTTGATGTTGTATTTGAAAATGTTTACAGAGAGGACAAGAGAAGCGTTACAGGCACAGCTTACAACGTAGGTGGTGGAGAATTACAGCAGAAAACAGAAATACGATGAGAGCACAAGCAAAGGCAATTAGTCAACGAAAGTGGCACCAATAGTCTCATACTTTGTTTTGTTTGAGTGCTCACCTTGTAACTCCCAAACCTCCTTATTTGTCATAACATCTTTGGAACCCATGCATGCTTTTCCCTTATCATATTATCACTTTTTGTCACTTCTCAACAGCCAAAATCGACAACTCCCAACGTTTAGAGATTCCATCATTTCAAAAATATCATTTTCCACTTCAAATATTCCTCATCCTAAACTTTTAATTTCCATCGGAATTGGATTCCTCCTCATCCCATTACTCTTTTCTAATTTCTTTCTACGTTTCCTTTAATCTCGTTTTCCCCCATAAAAAGTCCTGCTTGACTTCACCCAAGGATACACCAATATTTTCCTTGTTCATACTTTACACAAATCTATAGTATATATATAGTTAAAGGGGATAAGTTGATTGTGATCCTTGATATTTTTATAAAGTTATAATAATTATGATAATTTTGTATTATTAGAGAAAATTCAAACCTCCACCAATACAAAAAAGACTTTTAAGAATTTGTCATTAATTTAATTTATATTTTTAATTTATTCATATCACTAATTATTAAAAAAAAATTAATATATTTAGTGCATCAAGAATTTGATTTTTAATATATCTACTGCATGAAGAATTTGACATTTTAAATAAGTTTGCATGAATGAACATTTATATGATAACAAACAAGCTTTCATGATCAAATCTCTTCGCATGATAGTATTTATCTAAACTAATCCATTGCTTTTTTACTCTCACTTTTCCTTAAACAAAGAAAGGCATAATGAGCAGTGTATCCACTTAAACAAGTAACGAATTGTTGATCTGACAGGCATGATCATGGAGGAAAAAGTACCAAGATGTTTTATGCCTTTACCTAACTAAAGAAACAAAAACATTTCCATAACTTTGCTGCCTGGCTGGTCTAAATCATGCTCGTCTTGCACTTCATGCCTTAAAAGGATCAAAAGCTGTTTGAAAAAAAAGAAGGCAAACAGGACCCTAAAGAATATTTAAACAGGTTAAAAGCTAGCTAGCTTAGAGTAATCAGTGGGCTTTATGATGAAATTCGGTGCACAAAAGATAAAGTAGCCACTGTACTCATCAACATTGAATATCTTTGGGCCCTTTCGATGCCTTCTTATTTGTCAATTGACACATGCCACTTGTTCTTCATGGCTGGCATGTAAATGCAACTCGAAGATTCAAGGGTTGATACTATTGTTAAAGTTTAACCCGTACAATTATATAAAGTATTAGTATATGGTGGCTGAAAAAAGGGAGAAAAGAAAAATAATACAGCATGTGTATAGTTGTACAATTGCTAAAAATATGTGGCTGTCTTGCTGATGGTACTTGCATTGTGATATTGGTTGGAACTCAAAACTATTTATTAAGATAAAAATAACTTTGTATAAGATGTTTCACGCGGTTGGCAGTGGCTTATGGGCATAACTCTTATTAAGAAGTGTCTATTTTAATCATAGAATCAAAATTGGTTAAAAATGATTTAGTATTTCGAGAATGAAAGAATTGAGGAGATAGAATGAGAATTTGAATGCTGGAGATGGGTTAAAAGGCAATGATTAATTAAAATGTCAACGATATTAATGGTTGGTTGGAGGTTGCATGTAGTTTTGGTAGTCAAGAGTCATCAGCGACAATGTGGTTGGTGCCACTGCCAGCAAAAATAGTTGTCAATGGTAATAATACTTTCTAAAATAGAATATTTAAGGAACAAATCGTGGGACATGTAGTCGTTTTGTTAAATAAAAATCCATCTTATATTTGTTAGGTATCCGTATCACTAAATATCTACAAATTTTATGAATATTTGCTGCTATTTATAAGTATCCATACATATTTGAGAATTTTTTAAAAATAAAAATATGTATTATAAATAATATTAAGCTTATATTTGATGTTAATTATATAATTTTAAAAATCAGATTGGTCATCAAATTAGTTAAGATATTAGGTTAGTGAGTCAAATGTCGAATTGGTGGGTCACTAATTGAATCGTATGATCTAGTTTTTATTATTTTTTTTTAAAAAAAATATTCATGTTAAGTATATTTTATACTTATAAATTTCAATAAATTCATATCTTATCTTAAATTTTAATTTTTATCTTATTTAAAATTACTACATGGTGTTTTTTTTTATGGAAGATCTTTTTAATTTTATTCTTATTATAAAGCTCTTCTACTTATTGGTTGCATTAATTAATTTTTTGTAAAATACCTTTATTTAATTAACAATTTTTAGAAAAAAAAAAGTTTAAAATTAATCAAATAAACATTCTCTTTTATTGATATCGAAGAAGATAAATAGACACTCCATCTAAGTTGACTTCATTCTCATTCTAAACATCAGT